ACCTTAGTTGATTTTATAGAGCTTTTCAGAGATGTTTGTATGGAGAATTTTAGAAGAAACTCCATGGCAATCAAAGATTCTGGTAAGGTAAGAGACTCGCAAGATGTTGTTTACCGGGAAGAAATACAACAAAGATTTTTTGAAAGTATAAACCAAGGGACTAATAAGCGTTCGTCGACAAGGTGTTGGAGCCCTTTTGTCACGAATCGGGAAGTACATTGTTCTTGAAACAACTACAGTCTGTAATCAGTGTGCGGTATACAATATCATTAGGGATTTGTTAGAATGGCATTAGCATCGAGCTCTTAATCACATTTTGCACTTTATTGATCCTGAGTCGTTACCTGTGAAAAAGCTATCGATTCTTGACTGCAGGAATTTGAAGAGAGTAATAAGTCAAAACACGGGATGGAAAGGGCAATTTTAGCTTATTTGTCCAAGAATCCGTTTGGAAAAAGATATACAGGGCAAACGTGTTGTACCACCACTGGTCTCAAACAGCGGTTCACTGCGTGCTTCTCTATAAGAATGGATGTATTCTTCATAGGCCGCTCATTGGTAATAAATTTGGAGAATCCTTGAAATAAAGTGCACTAATGAAGTTTTTCTCACAACAGTTTTTAAAAGCTAAGCTGCGAACTACTACCCTTTGTCTGACACTCCACACCACGCAGGACTTAATGCAACTCCCTTCTGTATAGCTATTTAAATTACGCTTCCTCTACATCATGACCTTTTGTTCGGGCCAACTTGCCTTATCTCAGACTTGAATATTCGAACACTTTTTTAAAAGCTTCAGTATTCAAGCATTTTTCGCAACCGTGATGTAACACCACCTTTCTTAAGCGCCTTTAACTACTGTGCAATATTTCTCAGCAGTCCCTCTACGCTTCTATTGTTACAAAAGGTCAAACTTGTCCGATAATGTCTTACTGCTATTTATAAATCTCTGGCTGCTTAGTATGAGGTTACAGCATCATACAGCGACCCGATAATCTAGCAGCCACTATACCTAATCTAAATTCGATACAATCAACATGTTTCCTCTTGCGTAATGGAGGGGCGTATTCAAAGGCTTGTTCTGGAAATATATATGTGGAACCGTCAACGTGCAAGAGCACCACAGTTCTTCTTGCTGCAAACAATGTCTTGTAGTTGTTTCTACATGATAATGTTTTTCGTTTCCTCTTTATTTTATTTTATTATATTTTTTTTGATGCAGAAAGATACTCAGAAAAAAAAACAATAAAGGAAAAAAGTGAACAAAAAAATAAGTAAGATTTTAACAACTACACTGTAATGCTGTTTATTTCATGGTCACTAACCCAACGAATTTCTATTTGCTACCAAATTTTTCGATAGCTCAATTTTATTCGTCAACATACAGAATCCATCACAAATAGCGTAGCGCAAGATAACGTGCAAAACAGGAAAAAAGCGAAGCTAATAGATGTGAATAAAGATAGAGAGAAATATGAAGAAAGTAGACAAAGGTAAGAAAAGAAACAAAATTTCAAACAGTATTGTTCCTTATTGTTCAAAATCCTTCTATTTTGACCTTTTATTTTAGACCTCAGCTTGCTCTCATGTCATTTTTGCCGGACGCTGGTAACATTCACAAGAGACTTTTTTTTTCGCTCCAATCATCACCGGCAGTACCAACACTACAAACAGCAACACTGTCAATTCAGTGGGGGGAGGGGAATTTACTCTTAACAAACACATCTTTTTTGTTACATAATTATTGCATTTAAAAACGGTTTCTCGATACTGGAACTTTTGCAGCTAGGATAACGGCAGATACTGTCAATTCTCCAAGTAATCTAGTATATAAGAAAGTGACCATAAAACAAAGAAAAACAGCAGCAGCTATAAAAAAAAGAATTGCGACGGCGATGACACCATCGGTTCCCTTCCGGTCATTTCTTTTGTGATTCTGCTGTTGATGCCGATGATGACAGAATGGTTTGAAATATATCATTTAAATCTGGGCGGTCAAAATTCGTCTTTTTTTTTCTTAAAAACAAAGACTGGAAAAATAAACTGAAAACAATATAATTGACTTCTCAACTTTGCCAATGGATAGACAACTTTAAGTAGAGCAAGATCGTTGGAAGAACAAAAATAATCAACCGTTACTAATTTGATTTTATAAAATGTCGTTTTAAAAAAAAACTGTTTTTTCTTTCTTTTTTTAATTATGTATTTTTGCCAAAATTTATTGCCGAATAACCAAAAAACCCAAAATTCTTAACATCTATCAAACAAGCTAGAGTTTAAGACGTTTGTGACGATAGTGGTTCAACTACTTTAGAAGCTTCTCAGTTTTTCCACATCCTTCTGCTAATTCCGCTGCTGTTGCCCATAATTTCAACTAATTTTTAATTTTTTTCTTGCCTTCTTTACTGCAGTCCTCCAGTTTTCAAATATCACTTTTTTACAGATGGTTGTTTCTATCCAAAAAGCAATCTTTAAGTCAATCTTGTAAGAAAAAAAATTACTGCTACTTTTTCGACGTTGAACTTCCTAAATGTAACGAACAATCAGGAAAAAGAGATTCCTTTTGTTCAAGTAAGATATACAAACCTAATGACTATGCACCTTAATAAACTGTACAATCAAAAGCACTACAATGTTTCGTCAAAAGTAACGCTAAACAAACTTCAATCTTGTATCTTTTCTTGCAACGAAAGTGAAGCGTTGATACTTGCAACAAAGGAAGCATGCAACCACCTTACCGCAGTTTCTGATAAATTTACCGCTGTTCCATTTTTTTGCTCCGACTAAGGATAACAAGTTGGCCAACAAAATAATTAGGCAAGCAGGCTGTGTGTGGACAACAAGTCAGACACCGAGGTATGCCATCGATCCAGAACTGCTTTGTTCACCTCATCAAAGGTCACAAAAACTCCCGTAAAGTGCAATATGTGCTATTAAGCATTGAAAAGAGCAGAAAACTTAGTTTATACTCGTAATAAAATTTATTGAACAAGAAATTGTGTATGCGCATTTAATGACTTTAATAATGTACAAATGTACTTCAACGATCGCAATAATCCGCATTTCCAAGAAAAAAAAAAAAAAAACAAGAACAAGAAT